AATTGGCCAACAAAAAACAGTCATTCCCCCCTCCCCCTCAAAGTTTCTGCTTAGGAGGTGGAGTGAAAGGACCATAGGACCATATGCAATCCCTGTCCCCTTCAACTCAACCCGGACCAAAGTAGAGCCCCAAACCCCCGATCCCCAACCAAGAAAACCGCTCGGCACTCTGACCGATTTACCTGCTTCATAGAGATAAAAATCTTTTGCGTGCGGCACTCACAGTTGCTCATAGGTCCAGCACTTTCGCAAACAGACCGCCGGCCTGCAGGAATAAGCTAAACCATAAAAACAATCCAATGTCGCAGGCACAGTTGTCAGAGCCATGCTCCAACTACATATGATGCCGCGGGCGCAGCAAGGGTGGGGCGCACAAAAATTTCAGAGACAAGTCCACACAGTCACGGCTAAGAGGGCCACTGCCGAGACCTGGGGATAACCTCAGAAACAGGGATTGAGTTCGTCGCCGGGCCACGTTCCGCAGCCGTGCGCCCTCCTCGCAACACATGCTCCGACATATGGATTTCAGATGAGCGGGACTGAGACGGGGATGAGTACAAACTTGAAAGTGCTTGCTGCGATAGATTTTGGGAGCGCTGGCAAGGCCCTTGGCAGGCAAAGAGCAGGAACATCCATTCTGCGAAAACAGCAGCCGATACTGTTCCAAGTGATAATTGAGCCTTGATTCAGCCTCATGCTTTTTTTTTCTTTCCTTCTTGTCTTTGCTCGCATTTCTTTTCTTTTTTTTCACATCTCCATCATCACTTTCATCTCCACTACCCAAACTACTCTGTCTCACACACACACACACAGAGCTCTTTGTTCTCTAAAATCTTTGTATTAAAAAAAAGGAAAAAAAAACTTTTGTAAAATTGTTATGTTTATGCTTTATTAATTTTTTATTTGAAATTGTTTTGAAAAATTGTTATATTTCTGTATGAATGTATTTTTTATTGGAATAAGAAATTCTTATCTGACCTTGGCTCGCCTCCTTTGTCTCATTTGTTGATTCTCCTCCTGAGTTATGCTTTATTACTGTGAACCGCCCCCCCCCCCCTTTTTTTTCTGCATTCTTTTTGGGTATTGGGTTTTTTTTTTGTTATTTTTCTTTTTTTTTTTTTTTTTTTTGCTTGAGAATATATTTTGAACTTGCCCCTGCAGCTACAAAGATCACATTAGATCAGAGCTGTGGTTGAAACACTGCATACTTTGTTTCTGAACAACCTCGCCTCTTCCTGACTCGTACATACCTTTGTCTCTTGAATGACCATCTTTGGAGAAGCTGGCTCTCAAACACAGAAACCTTGGTGGCAAACATTCAAATTTTTGCTTGGTTTTTTTGTTTTTTTCTTCCCACCCCCAGAAAAGTTTCAGTAAAATCCCGCTACAGCGGTTTCAAGTCTAAAAACGACTGACTGCTCAGAGCTAGCTAGCTCTCATCAAAGCAGAATAAATAATTTATCTCCGTCTCCTACAGCCCGTGGCATTTAATTAGAGAGCCGCTTTTATACATTTGTTAGGTAATTACTCTACTTGACACAGATAATGATACAAAACAGCAGTGTATAAAGCAAAGAGTCTAGTTTAAGCTACAAACTAACAGGAAAATAAGAGTTAGATAAAACAACACCCTTCTTCTCTGCTTCCCGTGCTGATGACCTCGAATGGGCAGGCAACTTATTAGCACCTCTGATTTTCAGTAAAAGCCCTGTGGTTTCTAAATGAAGCTCTGCCTGCAGTTGGTAATTAAGCTCGCTCCGGAGAGCCTCCCGGCTTTGGAGTGGTGAAGAACGTTGTTTTTTTTTCCCCCACTTAAATCCTGGAGTTCCTTGATCTCTCAAAACTGCTGCCCTGCTTGATTTGTCAACTTCACATCTACCAAGCATGCAAAATGCACCATTATTGAGCATTAAAAAAAAGGGGGAAAGCATTCCAAGCCAGTCCGAGCCACTCGCTTGACCCGCTCGTAGAGAAAATCCCAGTTCTGTGTTCTTTAACCTCTGCAGCTGGGAGCCAGGCAGATGTTGAATTCACTTTCCACTGCTGCTGACTCACATCCTCGCTGTACCTCTTGTGAAGTGGGCCATATTGGATAAAGCTTCTCATGACTGTGGCATCGAGACCGCGTATTGCCTTTGATGTGTTCAGAGCTCCACGTGCTTTCCCACATTGATGCTGAAACCCGAAGGATTACTGGAAACAATCCATCACTTTTCAATCTCGTACGTCTTTTAATGTCTCAGCGGACAGTGCAGCCCAAGGCTCGCGTTTCCTGACAACGTGAAGCGCTGGAAATGCGGTTTTGTCATAAGGGCATGTAATAAATGACCAAGCAGTGGTGGAAAGTGACCAACAGCTACAAGCCATCTCTCAGAATGAGACTGGACACTAAAGATATAGAGTGTAAGTCACAGGGGACATTTTGTCTCCAAGCTAGTAGTTTTATTTTTGAGACTTTTGCAAAAAATAAAATAAAATATTGGGGTTGGCTAAACTTTGTTTCAAAAGTTATTCCCTCCACTATGTTTGATTTAGTTAAAACACCCTCTGTAAAACATTTGTCATTGGTTTACTCCAATTTAGACCTTAAAGAGGACCTATTTTATGTCATATTTATTGTTACAATGCTGGATGCTTACATTAAGCATGGCTAAAGTGTTAAATAATGAGGACAGGATATGTGTACGTCACTTCCGTGAGCCTATGGCTGCAGTTTTGGCTCTCTCATTGAGCTGATATCCCTACTATGGTAATCTCAAGCACAAAGCTCTGTCCATGTGAACAGAGGCCCACCCACTCCCTGAGGGGCAACCAATCAGAGGAAATTTGGCTTAAATGGAGGTGGAAGAGAGCTAAAGTATAAGAAAAATAAGGATTATTGTGATTATTGTGAGTCATGCAAAGCTACTTTTGTAGAAAGAAAGAATAAATATGTGGAGCTTGATATCAACATAATAGGTCTCCATTTATATTAAGTGGAACTCTTAATGTGCACCACTTTAATGAAAACGTAATTGAGAGGTGTTGCTTTTGCAAGTTCAACATAGTGCAAGTGAAAGTGTTTAACTATTAAATGTCTTCCAAAGAAAGCCTGGAGTAGAACACATATACTAGGCGTGAGGAGAAAAATATGACCCTGCATGCACTTCCAAAAAAGTCTGCCGGCAGCTCTGCCAAAAAAAAAAAAAAAATTGTGGTGCCCTCTGAAAAATATCTTTTGACCTTTTTTTTTTTCCATTGTAAGTAAAAGAGTATAAAAAATAAACATTGAAAAACTAGCTTAAGCAAAGTATACAGCCATGTGGAAAAAGGGAAATCCCACCGAGAGCAATGCCTTTTATAGATTTTGTCAAACAAACGCTTGATCCTTGTTGATGTGGTGTACAGATAAAGAAGATATACCACGACACCTGCAAAAAATATCCATACATTTAATATCCTCCTGTTGCCACAGAAGCTACCCCTCCTCCCTTCAACAGAAATAACTTCTTGTAGGCGTTTTACATAATTGTTATTCACGAGTTTCTGAGATTGGCTTGCTGAAATGTCTTTATTCCTTGAGTTGTAAGACGTTTGAACGTTTCCCTGTATATACTGCCTGCTTTAACCCCCCCCCACGACATTTCAGTAGGATTCGAACCTGAGCTTTCAACAGGCTACAACCCTTCATTTGATTTTTCCTAGGTGAATTTCCATTGTTTTTCTTTAGGATCCAAAGGACTCCCGTTATTTTCAGGTACTATTTAAAATGGTGCCTCTGAGTAAAATTATTTTACACCTGTGGAATATCCTTTAACTCTTGCAACTATTTAGATAATAGCATGGCAACACTGAAAGCACAAGTATGGCACAGTCCTAGCGAATAACTTGCATGCAATCTGCAGAATCATGCTTTAACAAACCTGCAGTTAGCTTATCTCTTGACCTCAGTTTCCTCTGATGCAAAAAATATCTCTAGTCCAGAATTTGATTTAGATGCTTGAGTTTTCATCATTATTAATAAGAAATATCTTCCACCACTTTTTCAGTCAGCAATGAAAGGTAAATGTATTAAAGATAAAGTTTTAAAAAAAAAAAAAGGCTAATCGAATCAAACACTAGCATGAATAGCATGAAGTTGACCTTGAGTTAGCTCGTTTTCCTGTTGCTGCTAACATTTTTTAATGTCAAAATCCAGCATCAAAGTCAGTCAACAAAGTCCTCCTCTAGTTTACTAAAGTCTTACTAAATGAAAACTACACAGTGGCCAAATTTTTCAGTGAACAAGCGAGTAAGTCTAGCTTCTGAAGGATTGTCCTCTTCTCTATCGTAGCTGTGGTGACAATGGTTACAGTGAACTTTGAAACAATAAAAAAGCAGTTCTGTTCAGTCAGAGGTTTAGAAATATGTTCCAGATCAAATAAGCTTCCCCTTTTTTCACTAACCTCATGACGGCTAAATAACCCCTCCGCCGACCATGTAGACTGCACACAACAAAGAGCCCTCACATTCTCTAGTCTCCAAAATAAAGACTTACATTAAACTAAGACAGCAGTTCTTTAGCGCTGGCTTCTAAAACTAATTTATATCGTCATCACCAAGGCTAAACCAGAAACAGGCAACAAAGCTTTGGTGTTGCCTTTTTTACCTATTAGCAATTTAAGCTAGCAATCTAAGCTAGCTTACATAACAGACAAAAATGTTAAATGCAAAATTAAATCATCGTGTTGTGGCTGAAAAAGATACCAAAACCTTAATTTAGTGGTTAAAAATGTGCTAATTTTAACATACTG